GGACTGTCCTCTGTGTGCAGCTTTTTTGTTAGCGTCACATTTGGTAGGTTCCACTCGTGAATTCTCGAGAAACTTCTTTGGCAAACTTGAGTCATTTTGTTCAAGCTGATGTCAGTCTGCTTTTACATTCATTTTGAGCAGTTCTTTTTTGAAGTGCAGATTTTTGGACAAGAAAAGTATTGTACGTTGTTGGAGTAAAAATGTTTTGAATCATTCCAGTCAAGTGACATGTCAAAAAACTGTGTGGAGTTCTTTTGTTTACTTGTTTAAAGGTTCTTTTACTTCTTCGAGTGCAGTCCATATTACTGTGTAAATGAATACAACTGAAGAGCACATTTGTGGTATGCATGTTTACAAACTAAGTGTCGCTCCACATTTGAACCCTCCTTAATATCAGCTTATTTTTTGACATGGTAACAGAGTAGTTAGAAAAGGTCTCGACCAATGGAACAAAAAACGGGTTTGTACATTTCCATTGCAAAGAAGCCATTTTTGGGTGAGAGTTTTTGAAATCGTAGACTGACAGGCTATCAGAGCGGATGGTAACCCCTGTTCTAATCTGTGTCTTGTTTTCAGTGGACATTGTGCCACCTGTCATAACCTGCCCAGCAAATATCCTTCAAGAGGTGTCTTCTGGGAATGCCAATGGAGCCTTTGTTAGCTGGAGCCCAGCTACAGCCACCGATAATGCTGGACCGGTAAATGTCACCCTGACCTCAAATCTGCAACAAGGATCCGGTTCCTTCTTCCAGTTTGGAAGCCACTCAATTACCTACTCAGCGACTGATGCAGCAGGGAATTCAGTCTCGTGTACTTTCACTGTGACAGTTGGTAAGGTTCTGTTGCTGAGGCTTCATATCGGTGAAGAGAGTCTTAACCCACCTTTGTTTATCAAGATTTGTATGTTGTATCTTCTGCACACAACCCAGTGGTGAAAAAGTCTTTGCAAGTGTAAGCGAGGGACTTAAGCACCTTCTCTCTTGCCTTAGTGGGTGCCCTGTATAGAGTACCAAACTGAATACGTTGACCCACAAAATTGCATAAGGCCAAACAAAAAATTAGTTGCATTTCCTATTACACTGAAAATAAATTGGGTGGTTGGTTGGGTAAAATATTTTTGTTTATTCTAAATTTTTATAGCCCTAACAATTAGGGTCAGATGATGGTCTGTATTTTGTAGGGGGGAGGCGCCTATATTGGTAACAGGTACTAAGTCAGTGTCGGATTCATACTGTACATGTGCACGTCAATATTACATATCAGCACTGTGATTGAGTAGTAAAGCAGCTGGTTGTTGAAATACAAACACAGGAGAGCCATCCATGTCATGCAAAAAATTAAAACATATAATGTACAGGAGGTAATAATGTAAGGCACCTTAACTTTTTATATTTTGTTGATTTGTCAAATAAAATGTAGATTCTGTATGATTTTCTAGGTTGGGTCGGGTAACCGGAAACACAGCTATTTTTTGTTTGGCCTAAAAGATATTAGAGCGAGAACCAGTGCGTCAACCAACACAGGCACCCACTTCATTCATTTGTACTACACTTTCCGGTTCAAATGGTGTCATACTTCAGTTCTCTGTAGTTAAGGCGTGCCCGTGTTTTGTTTCATAGCACTGATTGCCAGTGGCGTATTCAGCTTTTGGTGATGGGGGGGGGGCAAATTCAAAAGCAAATGCACAGTCGTGCTCATTCAACATGATAATGGGGGGACAAAAAATATAGCCAATTTATTTCAGAAATATTTGGACTGATTTGTTGCCTTTTTTGATAATTATTTTTTTGTGCTGAGTTGATAGTTTGCTAGAGTAGTCTGGCTGGTGAGGTGTTTTTCTGGTTGTTTAGTTACTGTGCAATTATTTATATCTCTCATGTAATGTCTGTCATGTTTTTAGGTGTGCCTCTTGTATGTAATTTGCGTATCTTTGTATGCCCTTTTATCTGGCAAATAAATGAAATGAAACGAAACAAAATTATAATAATTATGCTTGAAAGTCAAAATGCTGAACAGTTAGAACCTGCTTTGCAAGAAATTTGATTACTGTAGTGTTGAATTTGATATCTGGAAGCTTTTCCTGACAGAGTGTGTATACCAGTTCTACACAAGCATGTGCCATATGCATTCTACATGCGACTAACATTGGTGTGTGCATATTTGTAGACAGGGCATGTGATCGTTTTCAACCAATGATACTGGAGCAAGAGTGATATTTCTGCCATAGCCCTGTGCAATTCAGAATCTTCTGTTTCCACGAATACTTTTTGTACCTCTGGTTGGCTGCCCATGCCAGAGAGTGCATTCAGACAGCGGAGTGTTGTGCTCGACCAGAATTCACCTCTTGCATTTGCGTTCTTCTTTCAGTGGACAGGGTGCCACCCCAAATCACCTGTCCAGCTAATGTCGTAGAACAAGTCTCCACTGGCAACGAGAACGGCGCCAATGTGGTTTGGAGCCAACCAACCGTCTCTGACAACTCTGACATCAACCCAACTGTCACACTCTCGGGACAAAGTCAAGGACCCTATTTCATGTTTGGAACCTACACGTTAACCTACACAGCCACTGATAATGCTGGCAACATGAACAGTTGTACCTTCCTCATCATCGTTCGTGAGTTTCCTCTGTCTATCCTGTAATAAACATAGACTACCACTGGAGAAATTGGATTAGTTTCTACTGAATGGCTGCATTCATTTAGCTGTTGTACTTCATGTTAGAATTTTTGATCGTTTGTAAACTCAAGGTCACACACTCAATATGAAATATTTTTGTTTTCCTACTCAGTTACATGCCTTCAAACGAGTGCTCCCATTGTAATTAATTCATAGAAGCTAAGACCGAATGAACATTGAGTTAGCATTTTATAATTACCATTGGAATTTTGCTTGTGAGGACTCCTAGGTTTGGACTGTAATGTGAAAAGGGTCTTTTCTTTGCAAGATTGGGTAAAATTGTTGAAAGAACGCCAAGGTGTAGTCCTTTTTTGTTTTTATCTGGCCATTCATGCATCATTATCTGCAGAGGACAATGTGCCGCCAAGAGTGATATGCCCCAGCAGCTTTACGATGACAGTAACCACCGGAGTCAGTCAGGTGGCAGTGACTTGGACCACGCCAACCGCCACTGACAATGCCGGGCAGACCTTTTTTGTTCAGTCCTCCCACAACCCCGGGGACCTCCTGCCCGTTGGTGCAACAGAAGTGACATACACGTACAGGGATGAAGCTCAGAACCAAAACACCTGTTCTTTCACAGTCACAGTTATTCAAGGTAGTAATACGGCTGATTCCAGAAATTAGGGGTGCGGTCCCTTATTTTTTCGTGTCCCTGTCACGTCTGACATATGATTTTGTAAGTTCAGAACACATTTTCTAATTTCCAAGAGTGATGAATTAATGCAAATTACCTGCCAAACAAATGGTAATAGTTTGAAATCAATTCCAGTGATATTTCCATGTCAAAGAACAAATGTCAGGTGTAACAGGGACACAAAAATGTCACACTTTTGGACCCCTAATTTTTGGAGTACAGAACATTTCTAGTCTTTGTTGTTTTGTTGTCTGCTGAGAACAAATTGTAATCTACTACAAAACAGATTAACTGCTGGGTGTCTCTTTCAATTGTACTAACTTAACCCAATTCAATTCGTGTGCAGTGGACGGAACAACTCCCATGATCGTAACCTGCCCATCGGATATTTCTGTCACCATCCTTGCTGGCACTGCTCCGGTTGCTGTTACATTCAACGTACCGACAGCCACCGACAATTCTGGCAATGTCCGACTCGTCTCCAACAACTTCAACCCTGGAGATGGCTTCTCAGTGGGCAATACAGTGGTCACCTATCGATTTGAGGATGGATCTGGGAATGCTGCCGTTTGTTCTTTCTCAGTGACTGTCATAGAGGGTGAGTATTATGTGCACTAACCTTACATACCCGGTGTGGAATTGTGAACCAAAGATGTCTGCACGGTACTGGAACGGAAGACATTCTGTGGACTTACCCGAGTCCACAGGACGTTTCCCTTTCTCTGAAAAAGAAGTTTAGATGCACTTTGGGGTGAGGGCCATAGTCGTAAAAGGAAGAGGAACAGTCAAGGAAACATTTTACAAAAATCCAGCAGAAAATCGTGTTCCCAGTTCAAGAAAAAATGAGTATTTTCACTGAGTTTTCTCAACTGTAGGAAAACAAGAGAATGCCCACACTTGGTATGTAACTTGAGTAGATGTGCATGAGCTTGCAATCTTTTTTTAACGTCCCTCTTTTTTGATGAGATATACTGCGAATTAACGTGCATTTCCTAAGAACTTGTAATCTTTGCACACATGGGCACAGGACTGTTCAGAGGCAGATTTGTCACAGGCAGGTTGCATGCGTTCAGGAAGAGGGTTAAACGTGCACCAGCCTGTTGTATTTGTACTTTGATATGGCAAATTGTAGAATATTTTGAATGAGTTTCTCTTAGTTGTGAGAATGAGTTTTGCTGAGTAATGGGAATGAGTTTCTCTGAGTAGTGTGAATGAGTTTATCTGCATTTCTACATCGTAATGACCACCACGTCTGGGCTCTTGGGGACTTTGGTAAATGACGAATGGCCGATTGTGCTTTCTCCACTTTTTACAGAGGAAGGAAGCACATCTAAACTACCACATATACCTTCTTTGATGTTTACATGTTCATTGAATTTTTTTTTATTCTTTCACATGTGGATCAACAGATCCCAACGGAGGTATTAATTTGGCAACATGTC